CCAACAATCGAGTCGAACACGATCACACCCGATGTCTGATTGTGGAGTCGAACACGAGAGTCGAGTCAAACACGCTCGTCGAGTCGAACACGATCATCGAGTCGAACACGATTGCGCCCGATGTCTGATTGTCGAGTCGAACACGACAGTCGAGTCGAACACGCTCGTCGAGTCAAACACACTCGTCGAGTCGAACACCATCGTCGAGTCGAACACGATCGTGCCCGATTGTCGACTCGAACACGATCGTCAAGTCGAACACGATCGTCGACTCGAACACGACTCGAACACGCTCGTCGAGTCGAACACGATTGCGCCCGATGTCTGATTGTCGAGTCGAACATGCTCGTCGAGTCGAACACGATCGTGCCCGATCGTCGACTCGAACACGATCGTCGACTCGAACCCGATCGTCGACTCGAACACGATCGTCAAGTCGAACACGATACTGGCCGATCGTCGAGCCAAACACGATAGTCGAGTCGAACACGACACTGCCCGATTGTCGAGTCGAACACGACACTGCCCAATCGTTGGGTCGAACGCGATACTGCCCGGTCGTCGAGTCGAACACGACACTACGATCGTCGAGTCGAACACGATGGTTGAGTCGAACACGACACTGCCCAATCGTCGAGTCGAACACGACAGTGACCGATCGTCGAGTCGAACACGACAGTGACCGATCGTCGAGTCAAACACTATCGAGGAGTCGAACACTATCGAATAGTCGAACACAATAGTCGAGTTGAACAACGATCGTCGAGTCGAACACGATCGTCGAGTCGGATACGATCCTCGAGTCGAACACGATAGTCGAGTCGAACACGATCGTCGATTGCGTTCGTCCAGTCGAACACGATAGTCATGTCGAACACGATAGGCGAGTCGAACACGTCGAGTCGGACACGATCGTCGAGTCGAACACGATCGTCGAGTCGAACACGATCGTCGAGTCGAACACGATCGTCGAGTCGNGAGTCGGACACGATCGTCGAGTCGAACACGATCGTCGAGTCGAACACGATCGTCGAGTCGAACACGATCGTCGAGTCGGACACGATCGTCGAGTCTAACATGATCGTTGAGTCGAACACGATAGTCGAGTCGAACACGATCGTCGAGTCGAACATGATCGTCGATTGCGTTCGTCGAGTCGAACACGATAGGCGAGTGCCCTGTCGTCGAGTCGAACACGATCCTTCCCTGTCCTCTAGTGGAACAAGATTGTGCGCGGTGCAATGTCATCGAATCGTTCATGATTGTGTGCAGTGCAATGGGCCGCGTGCGTCGTGTCCTGGAAGATCGTGCATGGGTTCTGTGCGTGGAATTATGGGCGTGGATTGCGCACGTAGATTCTGTGCATTGTGTTGTCGTGCGGCCTGGTTTGTTTCCATTGTTGGGGGGAGCGGGGTGAATAGTTCTATGTTGTTGTTGGTTGTTCTATTTTTGCTGTTGACCGTTGCCCTTGTGTCGTGCAGGGCGTCTTCTCTTCACTATTCCTATGGAGATCTTTAATATGACCCCAGCACTTTGGCATGCACGCAAGGCACACCCTTTCCCGCCTTGCGCGCTGTACGTCCGACAATGTCAGGGGAGCGTAACCTATGAAGGCGCTTGTCCAGAAGACTTCGAATGCGACCCTCGGATGAGAATCCTCCCGTTTGGCGACAAACATTTGGACTCGTGGGAGGAGTGTGAGTGGGTGAACATGATGGAGAGATGTCCGTGGGCGTGCGATTATGGGTTCGTGAATATGTCCGAATTGAGCAAACACATTCCCGTGCCATTCGATGTACTGTGTCCCGTGCGTTTGCCGCTACTGTGTAAAAAGCTAAAAATATGCCGTGTTGTGGGGGTTTTGGACTGCGAATACGTGACAACCTCGCCTCGCACCTGGTGCCGTGTTATGAAATAGGAGTTACTCGATTGTGCGCGACATTCTCAGTTCCTCAATCATTATCCGTTGCGATCTCCCGGTATGTCGCCAGAAGCAGTTTCGTATTGTTGTGTGAGATTGCATCTGGCATACTTTATCTTCTGTAGGGTCCTCTGTATTGCCCTTTCGAGCACGACAAGAAACTTGACCGATGCTGTCGTGTATGTGTCCAGGAACGAGTTGTCTATGTCCGGGAGGGATATGTGTTTAGTTGAAAGAAGGTCAGATGGGAGACTGGATATCGTGGTGGGTGGCCGGGTGGAGGACGTTGTCGCATGGCGCGAGGTCGAGGCTAAAGTCGTTTCAATTCGGGATGCTATAGGCGTTTCTCTCGTCGAGAACTCCGGGTTCGTGCGAATGACATGCATTTCGGTGTTTGCTGAGACGGCGCGGCAGCTGGCTTTCGGATCGCCAATTAGCGTGTTGAATGGCCGCAACGGCGGGATTGTTCCCCGTAGTCGGTAGATAGCCTTCGTCATACTGAATGGCCAAAACGACATACTGAATGGTCGCAATGGCCGCTACGACGAGATTGTTCCCCGTAGTCGATAGATAGCCTCGTAGAATTCGCATTGCGATTGTTGTTCTAAATGTGTTATTTCGATAACAATACGCGGTATCTGCTAGTTGTTCTCATCATGTGTTCAGTGGCCAAAAGTACACACGTTTGACATTGTTGTCCTCATATTGTTTTTCGATTCATTGAAACCCGGGAATGATGACACGTGTTTTTGGTTTGGCCAATAGCCGAGTGTTTGATTGTTGTTCTCATGTTGTGTTTCCTTTCGGAAAAAAAACCTCGTTGTTATGATGTTTTGCGTGCACAAACATTCAGCAGTCAATGTTTCTCCGTGTTAACCAGTGTCTGCGATCTGTTGTCTTGTGTTCTCGTGATCAAGTGTCCCTTTAGGCACCGTCCGCCGACCATTGTGTCGAACACGACAAATGTCGCACAGCACACCCCAGTGTCGCTGTCGTGTTCGACAAGATGGTCGCCAGACGGTGCCCGAAGGGGCACGTGGTCGACTGTCGAATGGCAAACGACAGTGTCGCTGTCGTGTCGAACACGACGGCCAGCTCCCCTTCAGGCACCGTTTGGCGACCATCGTGTCGAACACGACATGGACATTGTTATCTGGCGACCAGACGGTGCATGAAGGGTTGCTAGGTCGACTGTCACCCGGCAGACAACAGTGTAGCTATCGTGTCCAACACGACGGTTGGTCCGCCCCCGCAGTGTCGAGCTCGACGTCGAGCAGGACGACGAGTTGGTCGGTCGTCGGGTTCGACATGACAGTGACACGACGACACCGCAATGTCGCTCTCGTGTCGAATTCGACGATACTGGAGGACGTCGTGGCACGGCCGTCGAGTTCGACACGACAATGAAACGACGACGAGCTGGCGGGCTGCGGCCCGCTTCCGTTGCTCTGTGTTCCTGTCTATTCTTATTCTCAAGTGCTGTGGTGTTTGCACGTTGGCAAAGCAATGACTGCTTTCTCGCTTGTGCATTTTCTTCTGTTGCGACTAGCTGGTCGACATGGATCGTGAGGGGAAACCAAGCAAACGACGTACTAGTACTGGTTCCGGGAGCATGGAACAGTCTCCGAAAACACCGAAGGGGACACCAACGGCTGGTGTGGGGGTCTGGCGACACACCGGGGTCTAAGGGTCACCGAACCCCGGTGTTGGGGGGTGCACCTTCTACGGGCACTCCTTCCGCCAATGTTCGAGGTTCGGGACCGGATTCGGCTGTGCTGATTACTGGTGGGGCTGCGGGTCGAGAAGAGGAGGCTACTAGTCGGCAGGGGAAATCTACGATGGACATTGTGTCCAGGCGTAGAAGGTCTGGTGAGACGTCCGTTGCAGGTGTGGGAAACGAGGTTCTTGTCGTCGACCACAAAGACAGGTGCTGGATGTTGGACTGGGTGGGTGGAATCGAGGAACCCTCGGGTGGGCTGGTTTTGTACGTGGTGATCAAAGATAACATTGTTCCGATAGGCGATGTGGTGAAGTGGAGTGGAGGAAATTCACAGTTCTCCATGTTGGAGTTGATGATGTTCCTTAACGCTAGAGGTGAGCGGATGGCAAATTTCAAACGCGTTGCTCTTCGTTGGGCCAAACACGCTGAGTACGGCAAGAAGCTTTATGACATTTTCAATCCGCCCGGGACGGAGAAATTGATGTTGCCGGACCTTCGAGCGGTTTTCACATTCTTCGACAAAAATGTGGTCGCAAGGCATGAGCCGGTGGTGCATGCTTCCGACCGCATATTTGAACCGATAAGCGTGTTTTCGTCGTCTTTGGAGGCAGCTCCGTCGTCGAAACCAATCATTATAGGTGCCCGCCCACCGCCATCGCTTTGGACTACGGTTGTTGCGGAGGCGACTCCGTCGTCGAAACCAATCATTATAGGTGCCTGCCCAACGCCATCGCTTCGGACTACGGTTGCTGCAACACGAGTTCCGAAATCTGGGCAGATCGGGGAGAAAGGTCCGTGTCGCAGGCAAATCATGCCGTCCGCCCCTGTGAAGCGTAGACCAACATCAACCAAGGAACCCGTTTCCTTGGTCCGACCGTCACGCTATGAGTTGATCATTCCTGCTGGGTCGCATTATTTTAGAGATGACGACGAGGAGAACAGCAAGGAAGATTGGGAGCGCGATGAAGAACGCGAAGAATATGAGGAGGGTGGCGGAGAAGAGGAAGTAGAGAGTGAGCACACAATCAGCGAGAGGGGTGGGCCGGGCGAATTGGAGGGTCGTCTAGGGGTTGAGTATGAGGACGAAGGGCAAGAAGAGGAAACGACCGGCGAGGGAGGGTATGCAGATGTGCATTGGAGTTCCAAACGAACGCAGCTGCTCGCGTCGGGTCATGGGCATTGGGAAGCGGATCCAGGGCGCGGGGAAATGCACCGTGAAGTTGGGGTCGAGCCGTTGCATGCCGATGCAGTCCGACTACCTGAGAAGAAAAGGAAGAACAGGCAAGAGAGAAGAAGTGTTTTGGACAGCAAGAAAACTAAGCAGAAGGGGGGAGCCAAGCAAGAGGAGGGCAAACGCAAGTTGAAAATGCTGGCAGTTGAGGAGGTCGTCCAACGTACGCGGAAGGCTGAGGAGGCCATTAAGAAAAAATGGCAGCTAAGGAAAAAAGCAGCGAAGGGGGGTGTGATGGAAAAAACTTCCGTTTTTCCACCGGACCAGCCACAGTCGGATGAAGACACTTTGGGCAAGACATTCACCAGACCGCCCGGTTTGCAGATTCTGCCGCCTGGGAATTCCTCTGGTCATCTAAGCAAAGGCTTCTCCCTTGAGTTCGACGAGAATGGTAAACAGAGGCCGGAAATGCAATTCATTTCTGTCAAGTTTGACAGGATTCTGGATATCCCTGATGAGGAATTCAGATATAATCAACGCTTCCTCGATCAGGAGCTTATTGGTGACCTTTACAAAACAATGGTTGAGTCAGGTGAGGCAGCTATCAAAGAGAGAACGACCGGGGCAGTCGGGGTGAATGTATGTGCATTGTACGAGAAGCGTGTCCTTTTGTTGATTGGGCGAGAAGAGTGACGCCCGGCGAATTCGATCTCCAATCCGTGCGCAAGTACTACTGGTACCCTCTCAGTGGTCAACACAATGTTGCGGCGGCGAGGAAATGTTATCAAGAACGCCCTGACATCGCCCGTGAGCTCCGTTTGGATTGCTGGACTACAAGGCCTGTTTACTATAGGAGCATGGAGAATTACTGCACCTTGAGCACTTTCCAAAATGCGAAGGACAAATGAAATATTCCTCCGCACCAGATTGCTATCGTTAAGAACATACGAAAGTTGTGGCAAGCAGTCGGTCGTCCAGAAGCTATAGGCAGATCTACTGCAGACGTCAAAAATAAGGATTACAGAGAGTTTGCGGCGATGGCTCTGCGCGCGACCGGGAGTGATCATTCGGTTACTCTTTCACTTCAGGCTTGGAGCAAGGAGTGGTCCGACTTCCTCGGGCCTTACATGGTATTGGCAAGGGCGACAGACGATGTGTTCGAGAAGGTGCAACAAGTGTATTCTGCTTGGGAGAGTGGACAGTTGTCAGGGAGAGATGGTGTGAAGCCTGCCACCAAACAAGGTGAATCGGGGAAAGTGCCGAGACCTGGCCCCGGATTCGAGTTGGAAACAGGAGTCAGGGTTTCAGTGCACTGGATTCAGGGTACTAGAGGACCTGGTTACCTCGTGGTTGTGCGCGATCCAGATGTCAGATCATGGAAGGCTATGTCTATGTTCGAGAGGCGTGAGAGGCTTCAGCTGTTGCGAGACATTCTCGCGGGAAGTGTCATACTGACTCCAAGGCTAAGTAAAGTTGTTCACACTGCCGGGAAACATCCGATGGAGACATACGTGGAAATGGTGAAGCAGGAAAGAGCAATGTTGAGAATGTTTTACTACTTCGTCTTCATTTCTGACCCTCACAAGAAGTCGTCAGAGTGGAAAGAACCATTCTTCGACAACCTTTCTGATTTGTTCGCTAAGTATTGTGATCAAGGATTGACATCGGAGAGGTGGATTGACCAGCGACGGCATTTCAAAGAAACGAGTTGGGTGCAGTCATTTCGGGCTACACTTGGAGGCGAGGATGAGAAAGGAGAGGAGGGCTTCAAAAAAACAAAATCGCTTGCAAACAAATGCCCCGGAGAGTTCATTCAATTTGTCAACAAGTTGTTGCGTAGATCTGAAACTGGGGGTTCGCATAGCATTCGTATGTCGGGACAAGCGAGATATATATATTCCAGAAACAGGACATGACATCTGTATTCGTGCCGTTCCAGTGGGAACCAAGCGATATTTCAGACGAGATGGATTGCAAGGAGATATTTAGAGTCGTAAGACACCTGACGTGCCACACAGTCGTCCTGGATTTGTGCCGCCCGACCCTGATGAGTGCGTGGACTGAACAAGTGTTTCATGGACTCAAGAAGTTCATGGACAAACTTGGCGGCGAGTATTAGACATTGTTGTGCTTCGTTCCACGCCCTTGCGAATTTACATTCTTCAGGCGAGTCGCGATGTGGGACATTCTCTTGGATCTTCTCAAATGGACTCGTCTACAACAAACAAAGGGGAAAGTGTATAAGGTTGCAAACTTGCATTTGGAGGACACAAACAGAATAGTGGTCATCATGTACTCCAACGACGGGGATTTTCATCGTAACACTATTCCCTTGTTTGAAGATATTCAAGCTGCAGGTCCATCATCTGCCGAGCGGGTGGCTGGCATATCGGCACTTGTGCGGAGAGAGAGAAAGCCGAAGATGTTAACTGATGTCGTGAAGAAGAACTTTCTACCATCAAAGTGGAAAATGGCAGGTATGGATCCACCGGAGAAAGTGGTCTATGATGGTATGGAAAGGGAGCCGAATGCGATGGTGGAGACATTGGAGCATTTTTGTCCTGCGGATGAGGCTGTCGTTTTCCTCGGGAAAGATCATGCGGGATTGGTTTGGGAGTTGTTAAAGAGTCACCGTCATTGCATTGTGCTGGAAGGGGAGGGTATGAATTTCGAGTTTCTCACTTAGTTCATTGACAAGATGGTCAAAACTCGAGATTACTACGCCAACTTTACTAAGCCGCCTCCTCGACATAATGAAGGGCGTGATCTCGTCTACAAGGTTGGCCAAAACAGGGTCAATATTTGGGAGTTTTTCTTCGAAACAAAGCCGCAAGACAGAGGGGAACGTACTTATGTCCTCAGAAGAAGAAAAGTGGAGAAGCTCTTGAGGGGTTATCATAAAGCATCATCGGAGAGGGAGCCTCAAGTTTCATTTCTCGACCACTTGGAGACAGTGTACTTCGACCAACAAATAGGGGCATTTACAATCGCAGGTTATACGACTTGTTTTGTAGATGGTGAGGACTTTGATGCCGACGACTCAGAAGAAGAGAGTGTTGATGGCACTTTGCAAGCGGCTTTGGCAGCTGAGAGGCAAAGAGTTTGTAGCCCGGCTTCGCATCCGCAGAGAATGGGTGTTCCAGGCACATCGTCCGGTTCTGGATGAGCTTCGAGCATGGCGGTTTCAACGGATCAGTTAATGACTCGGTCGCCGACTTCTTCTATTGTTACACCGACTCAGATGGCGGGCAATACGATGACGGTGGCATCAGGAGGCAGTCTGGATCCGAATCTTCTAGCAATGCTCTCCCCAGAGTTGATGGCAACTCTGGCACCATTTGCACACAGCCCAAGTACTATTATGGAATTGCTAAGCTCTCGAACTCCACAAAAACCTCCACCTGATGAGTCTTTGGAGTACGAGATTGGAGACACAATCCCTGCAGACATTCGACTGCCGAGACGATTATACGGTGACGGATGATGCCACATGGGGTCATCACATTATATGACACCCCCAACACTTTCAACCTGCATTGGCGAGAGGGAGGTGGGTTATGGCTATAAAAGAAGAAGGGGAGTGACAGTTTTGTCTCCACAGACGTATGTCAGGATCGAACTTTCTGAAACATGCCAAAAATCAGATTGCCAAGCGACTCATGCGACTTAATCCGGAGGTTTCTCAATCAAGACTAGATGTAAGAACAGAAGAAATTTTCCAAGAGTTCAAAACATCGCAGTGGCTTGAGTATCTGGAAGAGTTCTATGATAGACAAACCAGCCCGGCTTATGGATATTATTGGCATGGCAGAAAAGATCTTGGGGAGAGGAAAAAATCAAGCGGCGGTGGCGACCATGGCAAGGGATCCGGATCGAGCGGAGGTGCGCATGGCAAAGGATTGCGATCGGGGAGCGGTGCAAGTGACAAGGGTCCGGAACCAAATGACGGTGCAAGCGGCAAGGACGCAAGTCGTGGGGAACGACAACAATCCGAAAAGTCTAAGGGGCGTCAAACAACAGAAGGCAAGGGATCAGCACCAAGCGGCGGTGGGCATGGCAAACCTACAGGACCAAGCGGCGGTGGTTCAACTGTCAAAGGGTCTCAGGGGCCTCAAGAAACAGAGTGCAAGGGATCAGGATCGAGTGGTGGTTCAACTCTCGAAGGGTCCCACGGTCGAGTCAAACACGACAGTGGCCTCGCATTGGAGCGTTCCCGGCTTGACCAAGCGAAGAAACTCACGGTCGAGTCTAACCCGACAGTGGGATCGGAAACGATCGCCAGTGTGACTGGCAAGGCTTCGGGACCACGAGGGGGCAGTACAACTATCGGCGGTGCTTCACCTGTCAAAAAGTCACGCGGTCGTGTCGAACACGACACTCGTCCAGCATTCGAGCGCTCGCGGCTTGACCAAGCGAAGAAACTCACTGTCGAGTCGAACCCGACAGTGGGATCAGGATCAAATGCCGATACAAGTGGCAAGGCTTCGGGACCAATCGGCGTTGTTTCACCTGCCGAAGGGTCACACGGTCGAGTCGGACACGATAGGGGTTCACTATTGGAGCGCTGCCAGCTTGACCGAGCGGAGAAACTCGTGGTTGAGTCCAACCCCACACAACAATGGGGATCGATTGCCGGTGGGAGTGCCAAAACTTCGGGACGAAAAGGCGGTATGAGTTGCGAGGGCGTGAGTACAGATGACCAAGTTTGGGCGACTACGATACTAGTGGGCAACAGTGTCGCTATGGAAGTGGATATTACTGGTACACTCACGGAATTGCAGAATCTGATGTCGTCGTCGACAATGCCAGCCGAAGTAAGCGACACTTTCCAGGACACTTTTGAGGGCGTAAAGGAGGAAGAAACTCTCCATGTACAGGGCATCGAAGAGGATGAAGGACATATAGTACTAAGTACACCGGAGCAAGCTGTACTTATACAACCTCAACAAACGCTTGAACAACCTCAAACACCACAGTCTGCTAACCTCATGATAGCTATCGAGGAATCTCCTATTGCGTCATTGCATATGGAAGGTGTGACAGAAGGTCATGTTGAAGAAAAACTGAGAGTTAGCCATCGAGGTGAGCACTTTCTTATCTTAGGAGCAATATCTAATACTATATGCGGATTAGTGGGTACATCACATACACTCATCTCCCATTGTGTCGATCCCTCAGATGTATTGTTTATTTACCTAACTTTGGAACTGTGCGTTTTCTGAAGAGAAATACTGCAATTGTTTTGTATGAAGACTTAGTGCAATTGCCATAGATTTTGTATTGGTATTCATGAGTCAGCTTCAACAACGGAAAGTCGGACTTGTAACTCATTATGTTTTATTTTGTCAATCATGCAGGGCGACGAAAAGAACTGTGGAAAACGACACATGTATACTCGCAAAGGAAGAGAGAAAAAAATATCATTCGTCGTGGCTTGCAAGCTTTGTCAACTTTGCGTTATTGCTAAAAAATGAGAGAAAAAGTCGTACACCCATGACATTTCCATCTGTGAAGCCAGTTGCCTTAAGGATGTTTAAAGTTGTTGGAATAAACCTCACAGAAGAGAAGAAATTGCATCGCGCAGGTTGGAGTTTATCTGTTATGGATAGCAGCACTGATGACGAAACAGATAGACAACCAACAACATGAGTTCATATCTATGTAGTCTATCACTTGTTTTTGTTTGAAGTCTTAGTCGCGCTATTGTTGTTTATATGT